CGAGGATAAAGCGGGGTATGATCAGAAAATGGATGGATGGATGGATAGATGGAACTCCAAAAAAAAAAAAAAAAAGCTAAATCTTTGCTTCTTTCGAACATGTACATTTAACTGCTATGTTTTTGGTATGTGGGAAGAAGCTGGAGTACCCGCAGAAAATCCATAGCTGAGAGTCAAACCCAGAAACTCTCAACTGTGAGGCCAACGTGACCCCATGGAAAAAATCACAAACTCACATATATTTTGATGGACAATGGACAAATCTTATTTTCCAAAATATGAGGCATGCCAATATCATTTTGAATGCAATTGACTGTGCATTCATTACTCACATAAGAGACTCAATTCTCATGATTTCTCATCATCGGCCCACCGTCGCGCATTGAAAAACCGTGTATTTTATTGACTCGGCTTGGTTGACTCATTGGCTTTTTAATCCTCCTTGATTGCAGATTAGTCCTTGTCAAAGAAGATGTCAACAGTCATTTCTTGAAGCCCAAATCAGGCTTCAACCAATTACTGACCCAATCCCATTGCCCTGACTGAACCAATAAGGACAATTAAGATGAAGCGGCAGGGGAATGCGGCTGTGTCTTATTAACGGTCTTATTTCCAGTTTTGGTCTTTGAGCAAATGAACCTGTCAGATTTTAAACTGCTAAACAGCTTTCGTGGCGGCGGGGGTTTGTGGGGTGTATTTACAAAAGGAGGGACAAAATAAAAGCAGTATAATAAAAGTAATTTAAACAGAATCAAAAGTTATGATCTTTTGACATGTCGATACTGTGTTCTCGAGTGTTGAGTGAGTTAGTTTGGTGGTCCCTGAATCTTTGTGGGGCCAAGGAATGGTTTCAAATCGTGATGACAGACTAGCATAGAAACGAAACCAAATGATGAAATAAATTCACCAGGTGACGTGTCCATTTTTCCTCCATCCTTGCGGAGTCTTCATATCTTGAACCCGCCACTTCTTTTTCCACTTTTTCTTTGCGAGCGCGGAATGTCATTATCGTGCAGGACCATCATTTGCACTTTATGCCCACGTACGCGAAGTAGCTACGTGTTCATTACTATTTGATTGATTCAGTCAGTCTTGAGTAAATGTCATGATGGTGATCGATGGCTGGAAGGAGCCAATAAGAGGACAATTAGCATGTGAGATCCATCTTCTGTCCTGAAGCAAATTAACCTGTCAAATTTAAAACTGTTAAGGGATGTGCCACTGCCAAGTCAAGCTACTGAGTTGAATTATGCAAAAAAAAAAAAATATATATATATATCTATATATTTTTTTTTTTTGTGGAAAATGTGCAGGTGTTAACTTTATTTATTTTTTTGGAGTGCACACATGCACACATCAGAATGCTAATTACAGCGAGTCCATTGAACCTCTGTGGATTTGTGCCTTGTGATCCGTTACCGTGGCTAACATGATAAAATTTACTTCACTGCTCAGGGATCATGTCGGAGAGATGCGCTAACAATGTTTGAGCTCAGTAATTCCCTCCATGGTCACACTGATCAAAAGCGCCGACCGTGTGAGCTCTGGTGCCCTCACGCCATTTATTTTTTAATGAGTTTCACAGTTACATCGGCATCAATACCACCGGTCTGTTTCGTAAACAGCATGTTGTTTGGTGTAATAAATACTTCAAAGGGCTGACTCATGGAGAAAATTAAAGGCCTTTTGTATCTGGAAGAGGCCAATTGGTTCCACCTGTTGCTGCCCATCTTTAAAACCCGCCTCATAACTCACTTGTATTCTTTGGCATTTAACTCAGCATGACTCAGATTTGATCTTAATTTTACTGTTTGATGCCTTCTACCATCTTTGTTACTGGTTTATTACTTTATTGTTGTTTATATGTTAGTTGCTCCATGTACAGCACTTTGTGTGCAGCGATGGCTGTTTGAAAGTGCTCTACAAATACAGTTGAGTTGAGTTGAGTTGAGCCGTTATGACTGAAACCATATAAAGAAGTCAAGAATAACTGTTGATTCAACTATTGTTTAAGTTACTATCATGAGGGGTTTGGTAACAAGAAAATGATAAGAATATATCTCTTATTTATTACATATGAGAATTCAACATTTTGGTAGACATTTTAGAAAGGATCATAGAAGTTGACATGTTTGATCTGCTTTTGCGGGCCACATAAAATGACGTGGCGGGCCAGATCTGGCCCCCGGGCCTTGAGTTTGAAACCTGTGCTCCAGACTGCAGTGTGTAATAGTTTATTGTTCTCTGTCTCGGTTTTTGTAAAAGAGATTTCCTTCAAAAATACGATTGATACTCTGGAGCGACTTCCACTCTACAATATATGGACTTTCTATAGTATTCCAACAAAAATATGCTTTTTAATTTTTAACAGATATAAACTCCTTCGAGTTTATGTGTGTTTCAATGAAATCGCTAAAAAAAAAAAAAAAAAAAAAAAAATTCTGACACAATGTGACGGCAGCACAGGTGCTATGCTGGTTAGCATGCCTGCGTCACAGTTCTGCAGTTCTGTGTTTGAATCTTGGCGCCATCCTTCCTGAATGGAGTTTCCATGTTCTCCGCTTGCTAAATAATCCATTGATGTGAAAATGAGTGCGAATAGTCTTGTTTGTACACTATGTGCCACGTAGTTGGCCGGCGACCAAAAGAAATGTGAACTCCTAACTGCGCGGCAAAGATGCTAACCTCTTTCGCACCGTGCCGTCCCCACTCGCAAAGTTGCTCTGAATAATTGCTTTGTGGTCAACCAAAGTACAATTTGCCACTTAGTAAACCCCCTTAATCTGCTATTCTTTTCAACTTGTGTCGTCTCTCTTACCCCCGCCTGCGTCGCAGCGATCGATAGCGAGCTCTCGACAATCGGCAGGATCAAGCAGCCGTTGCCAGTAAGATGCGAGGGGGTTTTACGGGTTCTCTGTGTTAAAGCCAATTGCCTCTTGTTCATCACTTTGTGAACAGGGAGACTTAACCAGTTTATGGACTGTGCAAGGATTTTACTGCTTCAGATCCAATTATTGGTCGACTCGAGCAATATTGTAATCTTTGGACGGCAATGAAATCTGCGAGACCGGAAAGAGGAACAAGAGAAGCTTGCCGGTGGATGTCTCCGGTTGTAATACACCACCATTCCAACAGCGCTGTGGATTGGAGACATACGGTGCAAATCCATCAATCTACTGCCCATATGGCAGCGGTTATCGTATCAAGCAGTGAGTTGTTCACCCCTTGACACATTTCCAACATCATGAGCCGGCCGTTGTCATCTCCTTGAAAATACAATTCAACTTTTTCATGTTTTAATGGCCCTCAAGTACATCGGAACGATTACTATAATATCACCCATCAATATTTCATAGCCTAGTCTGATAGATTAATCAAAGTGACTTGTATTGAAAAAAAAAATCATTTGATCAATGGGGATATTATGGTTGCATGTAGAGTTGCAAAATGTTCCCAGCATTTTCTTCATCAATGTCTGGCCACACTGGAAAGTGAAGGTAGAGGTCTCACTTTGTCACACAGAGGACATGTGGTAAATGGGCTGCATTTCTAGAACAGTCTTCCTTCAAAGTATTCAATTTACTTGGCACACAATTCACACAATAGGGGACTTGGATATACGGTGAAGGCTTCACAGACTCGTATATCATCCTGACTGTCTGTATTGATTGTAATTTTTCATCGTACATAGGGCCTCAGTTTGCCTTGTCGTGCCTGCATTCATTTTTTTTTCTTTTTTTTTTAAAGTCACGTTGGTTCAGGGTTGAAAGTCAAGGAAGAGACATTTGAGATTTGTTTTCAGCCATCCCGAAAAAAAAGTGGACAAAAGGAGTTATGTAAGACGTAGCATGAATGTAGAAAAAAAAAAATCCACATCCCACACACGTCATTATCACATACATCCTCTCCTGGACTACCCTGTACATACACAGCGTAATTATGACCCGGGCTGACATTTATCGGAGATCAGTGAGAAGTTGTGAGGACGCATGCCTGAGCCCAGAGCTTATAGCCATAATTGAACTGACCGTATTTATTGGATATACGGTGAAGGCTTCACAGACTCGTATATCATCCTGACTGTCTGTATTGATTGTAATTTTTCATCGAACATACGGCCTCAGTTTGTCTTGTTGTGCCTGCACTCTTTTTTTTTAAATTTTTATTTTTTATTTTTAAGTCACGTTGGTTCAAGGTTGAAAGTCAAGGAAGAGACATTTGAGATTTGTTTTCAGCCATCCCGAAAACAAAGTGAAGTGGACAAAAGGAGTTATGTAAGACGTAGCACGAATGTAGAAAAAAAAAAAAATCCACATTCCACACACATCATCACATATATCCTCTCCTGGACTACCCTGTACATACACAGCGTAATTATGACCCGGGCTGGCATTTATAGGAGATCAGTGAGAAGTTGTGAGGACGCATGCATGAGCCCAGAGCTTATAGCCATAATTGAACTGACCGTATTTATATTGCAGTTCTTGTTAGGAAGAGAGATGATTACCTCATATGTGCCGGGAATCACCGATCTGACATTTCACGGTCATGCGAAGGGTGGGGGAGGGGCGGGGGCTAACCTGGGGTTTTAATTTCAGGTCTATACTTGTCCATTGTGACTTTCACGGAGTCCAATTTTGAATGACTAATGCATGATTTTTAAATATGGCAGGAGATTGATTCCTCTGATTAAAAGATTGCACTCACCGTTGCAAGTGCAAGGGTATTCAAAATCGGATTGATATACAGCTCTGAAAAATAAATAAAATAAATAGAGACACCCCCCCGCCCCAAAAAAAAACAAAAAATGTAACTTTTTGGGTACCAGGACCATTTTTTCGACAAATACATAATGAAAATGTAAAATATTAAATATTGTATAGAAGGGAGAAGTGGAAGTTGACAAATGAGGTGACTTGTACTATGGGAGCCTGCATGTATGGCTTGACTGCAGCCGAGCTGTTTATGTATAAATGACAAACATATACGTTTTCTTTTAGGGCCACCAAATTCCATGCTTCCAACCATGTGATTCCCCAGTGAGGCGCACATACAGTCGCCGCTCAAGTTAAATGAAGTCTCTGGATTCCCGTGGGATGGATTCAGGAGCTACAGTGAGTATTATTGTGGTATTTTATCACGAATATTGCACAAAATATTGGATGCAACATTTATATTGTCACTTCCTTTTGTTAAACAAAAGTGATGTTAATGTATGAATCGTAATTTACTTCCCCCAATATGGACGCTGAATCGAAAAATGTTTTTTTTTATGAGCTGGGATCAATGGTACAGTTAAATTAATTGGTTCTGGAAGAAATTTCTTAACTTGAACAATTTGTAAATTGAGACGCACTTTCCATGTAAATGCCCTAATCCGTTCCAAGCCCCTCCCATATTCAGACATAAATGTTTTCTAAAGCATAAAAATGCATCATAGAATGTAACAAATACATTTTACAATTAGATTATTGCGCAATAAATGAGAGTTGTGCATCATGTAAAAAAAATCGTGCCTGTATGCTTTGGCTAATACTTTGAATCATGAAGAAACACCGAGCAAATGCTTAGTCAACAGCATTTTATTCAACACAATTTGACATCATTTATTTTTTTGGATGTTTTACCAACAAAATACAAATGCATGGAACCGAATGACTGAATGTAATTTCATGTAATAGTTTTCAGGCAATTTGAGTTTCTTTTTATTATAGCTCCACATACAAAAAAAAACAAAACATGTAATGCTTGATTAGCTTAATATTTAAGCAAAAAAAAAAAAAAAATCTGTGGAACTTCTTCACGTGAAATTATTACATTGTGCTATTTTGTAAGAACACGTGTGCTGATTGTGATTTGTTAGTTTGTATGCACTTTTTTTTCTTTGGTACAGAGGGCTACATTGAAAAGAAAACAATCCAAATCAATTATTAACTTACTCATTGTCGTCATATTACAAGCAAAGAATTATTTTGTGCGATGGTATTATTAGTAAAAAAAAAAAAATCTTTATTTTTCTGATCACAATTATTCTTAGAACATTATACCTTACTTTTTTTCGTGAATACTTCTGCAAAGTTTTTTTTTGTTTGTGTCTTTTCATTGTGACCAAATCTTTTGTTTTTGAACACACAATTCACGAGGAGCCCAAGCCAACTATACTCGATAACATATAGCATTAAAATTGGAGGATACACGACAGCATTTGTTTCCCAGAGGGGCGTTGATCATTTTTAGCAGCTTTAACATCAGCAGGGCTTAACTCAGCTTGTTCCGGATTTCGAAACGGAATTTTCCCAAGTCATAATCTTGTTGAAATTAAGTATATACAGCACCGTGTAGATAGTGTCATTTTTTTTTTTCTCAACACTTCAGCATTAACGAAGGCAGACTACGGACATTTTTACTTTTCGTCACACAAATATCACCGCAGTGCCTGCACACCCAACAAGTGTTAAAAGCAAACAATCAAGAAAATCTATTTATTTATTTAAATCTTTATCCTTTGGGTATTTTGATGAACGCAGTCCACGAAGATATATATATTTTTAAGAAACTAGTGGGAACTCATTTCAATTTTAATAAATGCATAATATGTCTCTTTTAAGTCAGTGATGCTCAAGTGATGTTGGCATGATGTCATAGTGACTTATGCCATTTTTTTTTGGTTTTTTTTTTGGGGATACACCGTATACGAGAGCCACAATGAAAAGAATGCAGTTGGAATTTTACAAGAAAGGAAAAAAAAAACCATCAAATAAAGAATAATAACAAAACAATAATACAGTATGCTCCCCCAAATTTGACATCATTTCATAATTAATAACTAAAGAGAGATGTCAAAATTAACCTTTTTTTTTTTTTTTAAACAACATTCACTTGCATTTTTTTTTAGGCAATAAAAATAAGAACTGGAATGCCATTTTTTAGACACGGAGAAGAAATTTCAAAGGGGAACACAAAAAGCAAATGTGCCTCGTGACATTTGTGAATGCATGCGAAATTGATTGTAAAATCTGGATCCATTAGAATATGTTTTTGAAAGTTTTGGTAAATAAATATTTCACTTTACAAGAGTTACTTTGACATTCAAATTTCAAATGATGCCAATTTTGGGGGGAACACACTGCATCACAGATGCATTCTCTGACAGTTTTCTTGGAATTGTATCACTTTTTCCATCTCACTGAGGCTCAAAAGCACTTTCGTTTTGATCAGAGCATGTTTTTTTCAACGCCGCCGGTGGACCCGCAAGGCCTGCGCTCCCGTTAATCACTAGAAATGAAGTGCACGTGTTTTATTGTCCAGTGAAGATGAATACAAATGAAGATAAATCAAACCAGGTCGGAATACTCAATTATGCATGACTGCATTTATGCTTGATGTTAAGGGTGCTGCTTCCTGAACCCTACTGCACTTGTCCAATAATCATGCTTTTTTTTTTTTTTTTTAATCCAGAAAATCCACACAAGCGTGGCTTGCTTCTGTTGCAATTTTTTTGCTGTTGCACATATTCATGCAGACTCACATACAGTATTGCATAACAAAGAGCACAGATTGTATACTTATTCATCATGAAGGTCATTCCTATGTTCATTCATGGGAAAAAAAAAAATGAGCACAGGTGTGAATTTTGGCGCACGGGTTACAACATCTGTTTTAGTTGCACACACATTTGTCATGTTTTCACTTCTTTTGCCAGTTTTGTAGAGATGCCCACTTCATTCGAATGCCGTTTCCACGTGGTTCTTTGGTCCCTTTTCTTCACTCGGCACAATTCAGTCACATCTGTCAAGGACAGGGAACAGGATTGTATGTTCAGGGAGCACTCGTACAATTTTTCAAGGGGCATTGTCATTTTTGTTTTATTTCCAAAGAGAAATAGATGTCATCCTAAGCAGCATATGTCCCGATTCATTTTCTTGACTTACGTTTTGTTTTCAAGCTTTTTTTTTTTTTTTTTTTTTTTTTTTTAAACTGAAGCATATGTCTTAATTCAGGACCGTGGGTAATGTTCTAATTTCTAATTGCAAATGTACTGCACGCCTGACATTCGGTGTAAATTTCAGATCCTAGACTCGCTCCTTGACGAGACGGATTGTAAATTTGGAAAAATATTAGCCTGTAATGCAGCACTAAAAATAGATTACATCGGAGCTGGATCAGAATGACGAATTAGAGCTCGGAACATTAAGGCTGACACTGGTCCAGGTGCATTAATATAACCCCTAAAATAGTTTCGCCGTGTCTTGTGCTTCACTCATCACTTTATTCTGTTGAGTTTGTGTCATATCATTGAAATCCAAAATCTGGGTAAGCAAACAAGCACACTTGAATGCCAGTCCTACTTTGTACGCCGTGGGAAGACTTTCTTTGTTTTTGTCCATAAAGTTTGAATCTCCATGGTAACCAAACACGCTGTGCATAACTTTGCCCATGTGACCCCAAAAAAACCCCAATTTACCGTTCCAACCGCTCGTTCTGTAATTGTTTGGTTCATAATAATAGCTTAGTGCTGGGAGACGTCTGCACTTTAAAGTGTGTTGGCTTTTACTCAGCGGGTTTGGTAATAGGCCGGCTTATGATTTGCTATTTGACAATCAATTTGAGTTGATCATAGTTTTTTTTTTTGTTTCTACAGAAGGCTTGTGCCTCCCCCCCCCCCACCACCTTGCACTCAAAGCGATCGAGTTGGACTTAAATAGCAGCGGGGCAGAAAATAGAAAGCGCGACTCGCAACCACTGGCTGTGTTCTTGTTCATTGGACACCTGTTAATTTGAGATTGCAATGCCGTTGGCCGCGTGCCCTTCCCGCCGATGTCCCCCCACCCCTTCATTACCACGCAACCGCCGCCACTCCCACTTCTCATTTGCGCCGCTCTCCTGTCTCAACGGCGACAACAGAGTGTCCTAGTTATCAGCCACATGGCAGCATTAGCCAACGAGGTGCATATTTTTCTCCCCACCACCACCCCCCACATTGCAAATGCATCATAATCAAGGACTCAAGGGAGGTTAGGAACAGTTCTCGGTGTGCCGACAAAGGGAGGGTTGTTTATGTCTCCACGATGAACAGTTGAGGTCATGTGTTGACATACTCTCAAAGGCAGACGTGAAAGTCATGAAGACGTTGGGCCTTACGAGAGGAAAAGTTCCAAGTCTGGCCCGAGTCGTATAACTGCTGTTATTGGCTTTCGATTGCATGATTTCTCTAAACTCCCATTTTTAACTGGAGGAAGATTGGCAAGAATATTCTCCCCCAAATGTAAACATTTAATTGTTTGTGTCAGGGTTGTCGTGTCTCTGGCCTGTCTGCCTTTCCATGAGGTGTCAAAAAAAAAAAGTCCATATTTTGACATCTACTTGTCTCTGAAAATGTTCCTGTAAGCGAGTCTGTCTGTATTTCGGCTCCATTGTTCCATAAGGTGGCGCTAACTTCCATAACTGGCCCAACACCAAATGACATTGGTCAACAAATTTGACTAAATTACCACGCATGGTCAAATCCAGATTGCGCAAGCTTTTATAGGTCAAACTATGAAAAAAGAAAAGATCTCAACAATCCGATCTGCCAAAATAAAGACACATTTTATTTTTGCCAAGCCGTGGCCGGGTGTACCGAAATTAGCCAGTGATGGCTTAGCACAAGCGCCATTTCTTTGCCGCCCGTCATCATAGTGGCAAACGTTAACCCCGCGGGAACAATGCCTCGCTCAAGGGCACCTCAACAGTATAGCCGGCCAGCCAACTGACATCTCTCTGACAACCAGTCGCCTTTATTTTATTTGTTTATTGATTGATTTATTTTACTGTGACGGCACTTCAGCCCGTGTCTCTCGACTCCCAACGCCCACGTCCTTGCGGACTGTACTACTGCCGCCCCGTTGTGTTCCATTTGGACCGACTTCTAACAGTATTGATATTGTGAGACTCTTAACCATGCACTACAAAAGGCAGCCGAGATCAGACGAAGGTCTCCCTCCTCGTGCGGTACGATGTGGTTCGGGGCTTTGTTCAGAAAGAGAACAAAAAGATGAGGGATGCGGGGCTCATCCAAAAAAAAAAAAAAAAAAAAGCTTTCTTTAAAAACGCGAGGGAGCTGGAAAATGCCCCTCGTGCGTCACAGGGAAGAGTCGCGTGACCTCAGAGGTACGTCAAAGCGGAGGGGGAAAAAAAAATCGTCCTTGATGCGACGAGGGATCGCATTTCTTATTCATACTTTGGTTCGTCCATCATAAATGTGAACACACTGCATATGTGCAGATACATTTTTGTATTTTGGCTCTTCTCGTGTTCTTATTTCTATTTTGGTTCCTGCAGTACCTTATTGAAAAAAATACAGTCCTATATAATTGGAATGTATATAATCGTTCTTGCAGTTGAATTTTTGGTTTGATTCCAAACTCTGGCTCTTAATTAACCCTTTGAGGGGCAGCGGTCACTACAGCGGACAGCTTATCATGTTCCAGGTTAGCGTTGTTGGTGCATGAAAGGGTTAAAAACTTTTTGTTTGAGTGAGTGGGAAAAAAAAAAGCTAAAATGCTTTTCGTGGAAACGTTAAAAAGTTCAATGGACACCAAGCTGTCATTTTTGCAGTCCTTGTCATACAGGGCATCAATGTATTGATGTTTTCATATTTCCATCAATCTATCCATTGATCCATTTTCTCCCCTGTGTGATCCTCTTCAGGGAGCTAGAGTCTCCTCCAATTGACTTTTGGCCAAAGTCAGACTATAACGTCGACCTTTCACTCACATTCCCAGCGTCACCGAGTGGAAACTGAATCCACTCTGCCGGCATGGAAGTCATGCGGGTCAACCACTACACAAGGGTTTGGAAAATAGAAACCCGTGTGCCCCTCTCCTGTTCTCTCAGAACAAATTGTTGACAGGCAATATAGAAATAAAATTCAACATTTCCCTCCCAAATGCTAATAAGCGTGGGCCTCCAACCTCCGGTCATGCCCTATTGTGGATTTTTCGGCCGTGAAAGGGTTAAAAAGAGAGATGACCTCCATCGCATGTCTGAAATAGAATATCCAACAGTAGCCCTTGACCTTTTCACAACCTTCTTTGAACATGCTAAGAGATTGCTAGCTTACAAGTCGGCGTGCCATGACCGACCTTTCCAACAAACGACAGGAAACGCGCGACATTTTCTGTAAGCTTATATTTTTGTCAAAAGCTAAGCGTGTTGCAGCGCCCCCTAGCGTTTTCGATCTTCGCTTTCCATCTTTTATCTTGACCACTGTTTAGTCCTCTGCAGCCAATGCGCGACGATGGCTTTTCCCCCCTCGGCTATTTCGTGTCGAGGTGGAGGCCGACGGCGCGGGCATGTCAAATTTCACTTTGACTAAAAGCAATCAAGAGCGGACGCGATTTGCGAGATGGCTGCGATTGACTCGAGGGAACGTATCGATCGTCAAACAAAAGAGCCCTAATTTCTCGGATTAAGTGTGATAAAACCGCAGGCTCAATTCAACGCTGCACCATTCATGCTTTGTAAAGCTTATTGATCCTCCGCGGCTGAAGGTTAGTGGTTTTTACCCGCTCTCTTTTCACACTCGATGAAGTATGCAATCGGCGACGTCAGATGCAGGAGATAAGCGGCGCAAGGAAATGTTTGGGTTTCTTTAAACACCGATCCGATAAATTTTATCAGCCGTGGTTGTCCCGCGCAAGGGAAACGTTCCAATTTCCTTATCAACTGATTGTATTCCTCATTTGTTTTTCTATATTCTGTTGGAGCAATTTCAGTTCCTGGTCGTAATAGATTGTGAGATATGAGAATCAAGTCCGTAAAAGGATAACACGTAAAAAAAGCAGAACTTTTTATTTTGTTTTTCTATAGTGAATGCCTCGCCCTTATCAGCGATGCAATAGCCGCTGTACCATCTCGCGATGAACCGCCATGTTGCTTCGGCTACTTCCACGCAGGCAGCATGAGTTCAAGTGACCGCTCGGTAGAGATTTTTTTTTTTGTCTTGTCTCTTTATGTCCACTACGATTGACTGGAAACCAGCCCAGATTATCGTCTGCTTTTTGGATAAAGTCGGTCCTGTTTTGACGGCAGTGTTTTATTGGAGGGAGGGAGAGACAGAGAGAATTTAATGCAAGGGTCCATGCCAAAATATTCTATCATCCAGAGTATTATATCTAGGTGCTAATAAAACTACCAAAGTAACAGAGACACTCGTTTTAAAAGTGTATCATCCCTATATTCACTTTGTGGCTCAGAAAAGTCACTGTCATTAACTGGCATGTCCATTTGTGACACGGATTGAGTTCATTTAATTGAACATTTTCATCTGCCAAGACACCATAAATTATTTTTTCCCCCCCTTTCTATTCAGCCAGATGTTGAGGCAAAGCATGACTGGAAAAGACGGACAGCGGCTCTCTTTTTCTGAGCGATGAGTTCTGAGAATAGTCTTGCAAAAGGGTACAGCGTTGGCAGGTCTTGAAAGATATTTGCAGGCGAAGCGTGCGCGTCCAGGGGACGCGTCCTATCTTGGTGACGGCCGCTCAGCCATGTGATTCTGATTCATAGCGGTCTGGCGTAATTTCAAATTTCCTGCCTTGCCTCATCTCGTGCGTCCGAATCAGAAGTCGCAAGGAAGAAGATGAGCACCTTGCCTTTCTTTGATGGTACGCCTTTTCTTGTTTCAGGTGACTGACCCTGTGCCTTTCTTTCGTCTCTCGCAGATTAATCGAAATAGATTAATAACTTCTGCCAATTTGAAACCCGAAGAAGTGACTTGTTGTTTTTATTTTGTTCATGTGCAGTTT